CACACAAACGCAACAAACACACACACACACACACAAACAACACGTACATACATTTATACATGCATCACATACTATTTGCACGCGCACATGCCCAATTTTGCACAAACCGTACGTTGGCACGTAGCCGTTAGGAGTTCAGTGCCCTAGGGGTGTCTGGGGCATGCCCCCCAGAAAATTTGAAATTATTTGCAGCCATATTTCCTGCAATCTGAGGCATTGCTGTGGCGCCATATTCTCATGCTGATGACACATATTCTCAACACCTAGACTCAACCCTACATAAGTTAGGATCGAAAACACTTTTCATTTACTTTTCAGAGAGCCGTACACAGCTTAGGCGCTACCTATATATCAGTAATAACATTTATGCAATATTACTCACAATTTCACGTGTTTTTGCTAGGCTTAATTGCCACCATACTTTTTGGCCTATTGTGCAGTCCTGGAAACATTTTCTTGAAGAGCTTCAATTTCATGGCGGGCTGCCGCCCCTCAAATGGCACATTGTGTTCAATTGAATATCCAGTAAATCTCACTGCTGCCGTCAAGACTAGACAATTCCTATCTGCTGCCAAAAGAGCTTGATATATTGGCGTGTAGATTCACTGCCCACCGCGCATAAGCACTTTTACTTTGAGAGGCCTCTGCGCAGGCCCTTCCTCCGTGCCCCACTGAAAGTCTGTCTTGCAATACAATGCAATTACCCTGCATTAAACCACTGAAGTTGTTTCTTACTGTAAGGCTATGACAGCTCCCCCCCCCCCCCGCCCCCCCCCCCCCCCCGCTCCCCCCCCCCCCCCGCCCCCCCGCCCCCCCCCGCCCCTTGTTATACATAATACATGGCAAACTCATTTACATGGAAAACTCACTATACATGGCAAACTCATACATAAAACTTCATTTCTCATGCAATTTATCCTGAATTGAAAACCATCAACATTATCTTCTTTTTTCTTCTTCTTCCTTCTTTTCTTTTTTTCTCTTTTTTTGAATCTCAGGGGAGGATATTTGTACAGGCCCATCCCCTCCTCTTCAAGAGCAGGCGGGATGACATCCCCCCCCATCCCCCGCAGGATTTACGCCCTGTAGCCAACACACCTCAGATGCAGACCAGGTCTCTGCGGCTCTCTGTATTTGCATTACGCTAAAGCTATGTCTCCACACCACGCGCACACGGCATCGCCCCCGCACAGCCAAAACGCAGCGCCGTTGGGTGCTGCAAATAAATTCAGTGATCAGAAATTAATGCTAATGCTGCTTGTTGTCTATTGGCTGATGTGGCGTTGAGCAGCAACACGTGCATAACAAGTGCCGCAGAGCGACAGCCGCTCATCTCACGTCTACTGCGGTGACTTCTGTGTGGTGCAGTGGTGGGATTTAAGCTAACCCTGTAGGTTCCCCAAAAAAAATGTGCTTCACATACGCCACCGAAACAGTGCGAAGCACAGGATGCGCTATCGAGCGAACCTTCTCGAAGAATGTTTGTTGGATCAGTATGAAAAGTTGCCACACGAGAGGGCGCCGTTTTTAAATTTTTTCGTTTAAGTGTCTTAGATTAAAGATGGAAGCTCCCAATCGATACGTAGTAGCAACAACTATTTGCAAAGACAGAATCGGTAAGCACTCCATCCATTTCACCTAACGCAAGCCTACAGGCTAAAATAGAGAGCTGCCCACCTGCTAACTAATTAACGCAGCGCAAAAACTACACAGCTTGACTATCACCACCAACCACTGCACTGGCAGTGGCCACTGCAGATGGCATAAAGCGTACATGCTAAACGCCACTGACAGTACAGA